GTTTAAAGTGATTTCACTGTTTCTTTCCTTCACTGAAAGAGGAACTCATGAATATAAGTCCATCCAAAAGACTATTTAAAAAAAAAAAAAAGATATATCATCGCAAAACTACCAAAGTAGCCCATTCATAAAATTAACCTTAAAAGCATGGTACAGTGCAAAGGGCTTAGAATTAAGCATCTGGTAAACCTAGGTTTAATTTCTAGCTCTGCTTTTTACTAGCTATATGGGCAATTTATCTATCGTTTCTGAGTCTCAGTTTCTTCCTCTATGAAATAGGATAATACTAGCTTCATAATGTTTTTGGGAGGATTACAAAAATAACATCTATGGAACTCCTGGCACAGAATATATATTCAACAATGTGACTTTCTGCCTTCCCGTCTTTTCTTTGAAAAAGTGACAAAGCATAAATGAGTAGAATAAAAGTTTTCACAAGTCAGAAGATAAGAGATAGCCTGAAGCATGGCTGATACCTTAGCCTGGACATAGAATTATGCTTATAAGCTTCTTCTCAAAAGTAAAGTAAAATAGAACACTGAGAGCTGTAGAAAAACATTTGTTTTCTCTTAGCCTATCTTTTATAGGCTTGATAGACTCTGATAAAAACTATGGTGACCCTCCTATCTTCCACCTATTCATTTACTTGGTCAAAAATGTACTGAGACCTAACTATGGTCAAGACCCTAGAGATAAAGCAGTGAGCATGAGAAAAACATGTCCTTCATTGTAGAGCTCTCAGTTTCATAAAAGAAGAAGATACCTTTAAATACTCTTGAATGGTCTCCCCAAATTTCATATGTTGAAGTACTCACTCCCCCCCACCCCATATCTCAGAATGTGATCTTATTTGGAGACAAAATTTTATAGAGATTAAATAAAGTTAAAATGAAGTTGTTAGTGTGAGCCCTAATCTAATATGACTAGTGTGTTTATAAAAGGGACACATACATTCATAGAGGGAAGATAATGTGAAAAGTCAAAGAGAGAAGCCAAGGAGAGAGGCGTGGAACAAGTATAAAGCAAATTCTCCTGACAGTTTGATTTTTAACTTCCAGCCTCCAGAATTGTGAGACAATAAATTTCTATTGTTTAAGCCTCCCAGTGTGTGGTACTTTGTTATAGAAGCCCTAGCAAACTAAAACACATAATTAGAAATTAATTAGAAATAATTAGAAATTAGTTGCACAATTAATACCATCATTATAATATCATGCCTATGCCGGGAAGTTGATGAATCTAATTGTAACAGACAGAATTCTGGGTAACTGCATGTGCAGTAGGCAGAAAGTTATATATCAGCCAAATGTCAATCAAAATAACCTCAACTAGCGCCACTCCAGTAACCACCCATCATGACCCTAATATAATACAGACCTCCCCACTTCCACAGGGTTATAGCCCTCTTCCTTGTAACCCGCCTCTTCCCTGCGTACCTTTTACTTCTGCGTGGTTACAGCCCTTTCTGGCATGATCTGTTTCTCTCTTGAAACGTACTTTAATAAGTCTTACTTTTTCTAAATCTTGCTGATCTGTAATTCTTTACTGCGATGGCAAAAAGAACCAAGGACATCCCAGTGTTACTGGGGCAATGCTGGATTTGATTGCCCCAATGGTAACATAAGTACATATAAAAGGGAAACTTTAACTTGTCTGGGAGATCATAGAGAATTTCCTATGGAAACTGAAATGAAGCTGATTAAGAGATGGGAAAGTAGATGGGGCCACAGAGTCAATAGAGGCAACAATTCCAGACAAAGAGAAAAGAGGATAACAAAGGCCCTATAGCAGCAAAAAACTTGATAAAGGAAGCAAAAGATAACCAGAGTGGTCAGAACATAAAGAGTAAGGGAAAGAAATGAGGCTAGAAATACGTTAACTCCAGGTATAGAAAATATAGATTTTATGTACTGAAAAGCGACTGGAAAGTTTTTGATAATAGCGGGAAGGTAGTAAAGCATGAATAGTATAATCAGAAGATTCATCAATTCTAGAAGACAGTCTGGCTTCTGAGTATTAATGAATCAAGAAGGTCAACAGTAGATAGAGGATGACAAGCTAGGAAGCAATTGGGACTAGAATAGTGACAGAGATATAATAAAAAGACATGAAATCAGGAGATATTTAGAAGATGGAGATTGAGAGAACATAATAAACTAAATACAGGTAGGTCAGGAAAGGAAAAAATGTTATATATGAAGGATATAGAACTAGAACGGCAAGACAGTTGATGACAATGATGTTGGAAAGTAGCAGACAGTGAAAAAATACCTTCGAAATATGGAGGGAAAAACCTTTCTAAACTAAATTGTATATTCAGTCAAATAATCAAAGGTAGTATTTCCAGTTACGTATTGTTCTCAAAAAAAAATTCCTCCATATATCCTTTTCTTCAGAGAGTCTCCTGAAAAATATATTCCACCAAAACAAGGAAAGAGAAGGGGCAGAGTTATATGCTGAAATAAGTGAACTGACAGGAGAGAGGCGTGCCTAATACCTAGAAGGTTGGTGAAAGGAAATCCCAGGATATCAGCCATAGAGGAAGCTCAAAGAGAAACCAGAGCAGAACAGAACTGGACAATAACAACAGAGGCTGGGGGCTGCTTCAGGCGAGATGTTCCTGAGAAAATAATGAGCTGATAAAAATCAATGTGTTTAAATGTATTAGAAAGTGATTTACATTTCTGGTGGAAAGTTAAGAGATATATCAATGCTAGATAGAAAAGAAATGAAGCAAATAAAAGAAAATTATTATTATAGGAAAAACAGAATATTTTTCTGAAAGAAATTATAACTGTGGGAGAGGAAAAAATAATTTTCCCTCCAACCTTCTTAGCTTTTTGTTGGGGCTTCTATAACAAAAGACAGATTAACAAGATTAAAAAAAAACCCAAACAAACGTGTTTATTAACATGTATACTATATGTGTACATGGAAGATATTCAGAGAAAAATGAGTAATTTTCAGAGGTGGCTTAGAACATTTGCTTAAATATCACCTTCGGGTAGACCAAAAAAAAAAGGTGGCATGGAGGCCAGGTGTGGGGAGGTGACTAGGAAAAACAGGGAAAACAAGAGTAAGGTTTGTTATGCAGATTTAAGTCAGTGTCTTCTCCATTGATATGAAGATTAATTTATCTCTCCTGATAGAGAGGAGGAAGGACAGGCACCTTTGTAAATTTATGTCCTGCTATTATTAGGCAAAGGGGAAGGGAGAGAGTATTTTTATAGCTGCTTCTTCTCAACTGCCTTCAGCTGAAAGTAATTAATACTTATGCCACAGTGGCATATTTTGGGGGTGGCATATTCTGCTACTCTTCATAACCGTAATATGTATGTTGACTGTTTCAAACTGTAAACCATGTATCTAACTAAATATTAAACTTATAAAAAATTATGACTAATGAGATAAGAGGGAGGCAAGACAGGAGTCAGGATGTATAAAAGAGCTAAATCTTTGTTTTTCATACTAGGATGTCAATCATTAGTTAACGTGAAAAACTGAAACACTGCAAGAAATAGCAGAAAGGATGATCTTTTCATAAAAGAAAGGCAATTACCAAAACATCGAAACAAAAGCCAAAAGACTTGACAGTTGTTATCTACAGGGAATGGAAATAGAGACAGGCTGGAGGTAGAGGAGGCAGATTTTTGGGTTTTTTTGTAATAAGCTTTGTAGAAACGTGATTTTTTAAATTGCATGCATGTAAAACATTAATAAAAATATTTAAAAGAAGAGATATCAAAAGTATATTTGGAGCCGACACTAAATCAAAATGTATGACTAAACTACAATGCGCTTAAGCTTTAGGAAGTACCTGAAAAGTTTTTTGTCTTTTTTTTTAAAGTATACACTGAAATTTTAGAGCTAATTAATTTAACATGACTTATTTAGTAAAGTTAAGGGGTTTTTTTTTTATATGTTTAAATGATGGGCAATAGATATTTGTATATTTTCTTGCCTGTATCCAATCCACTTTTCCCTGAGTGTGTCATCATGGTTAGATACCATCCTTTTAGTGATTTAAAGTACTTTTTCTCCATACAAATTTTCTGGATTCCTTACTGCTACAGGCCTCGGTCTTGCCAATTCAGGGATCATCTGATATTCCTTATTCCTGTCTCAAAAAATATCACTTTGGCTTCCCAAAAGTTGATCAAAAAGAATTACACTACACTCATCTTTCTAGCAACAGAGTTGTGATTTTTGATGTTCAGCCTATGGTACATGGAATACTCCATTTCCTACTCTAGTAAGGTACAAGCCATCACACCAATACCTAATGCTTATGTATTTCATCCTTCCTTCCCAAATAGACCACTGCTGAATCTGTCCCTTCGAAGCTTAAGAACTAAAAAACAACAACAACAACAATAACAACAAAATTCTCTTAGCACAACTAAAACACATCATGAATGGGATATTCATTCAATCAACATTTATTAACTATCAACTATTTAAATTTAAATTTAAACTAAAAACAAACCAAACAATGAATAACAGCCACCTAATTGACAAAACAAATATGTGCTAGCCCTGGGAAAGATATATACAAAAGCCATTTAAGGAAAAAGAAGTGATCAAGTTGAGAAGTTGGTAATGAAACTATTTTTGGCACAAATCTGCAAGTTATAAAAGTGCTAAAATTCTTTACAGAAGTATATTGTCATTGAGAGGACTGACCACAGGATGTAAAGTAAGAAATGTTTACATCTTAACCCCATTTTCTTCTCAGAGATGCTTTGAGAGCAACTAATATTTGCATAGTGCCTAGTGATAAGCCCAAAGTATAATGTTAGTCACAAATCAAAAAGTAGGCACATAGACTTATAAAAAAGGTCACCATCTGAGTAAACACAACTAAAATTAAGTCTCTGTAGTAATATAACAAGAAAAGTTTGTATCAAACATTAATATAAAAAATGTATTTTAAAAATTTACTTATGATGAAAATTGCAACCCAAATTCTTTGCAAATAAAGAAAACATTGCACAACTTACGATATTTACTGTGAATTTCATCTATTTCCTTTTCTGTTTGGTCCTTTGTAAAAACCATTACCTAAAACAATCCAAAAATTCTTAATTAAAAATTTAATAAAATGATAAAAGTAGAAATCAGTACTATAAACGTTAATAACTCCTGTGTACTTCCCTTGAATATCATAATTAGTACACATTTTACTAATTACTTATTTCTCATCAGTAGAAAATACAACACTAATTCCATTAGAATATATAAAGTATTAATACAACAATCGAATTTTGTATTTTCAATATTTAATTTTTCACATTCATTAATACAACAGATAACACTTGAAACTACAAGACTGGAGGCATTTAATGGATCATTAATAAGGCAGGTCTTGTTTGCCTTCTATCTTTTCCAATCTAACTTCCTCAAGTCTATAACAAATGTAACAATAGAGAAAATGCAATAATCCAAGATTTATGTTAAATTGTTTCTAGTCTTATTTTTTAAAATCCTAGACTTAAAAGATCAGAAATCTACTTACATGATTCATTACAGTTTCCATCTTATAGTTAGCACACAGATAATAATAAAGTCAATGAAAATCTCATTTTTTCTACTATCTGATTATAAACTTCTTTCTCCCTAAAGTTGCTTTTTCCTTATAATCACATTATCAGTGGTCTAAGGGAAAAAAGGTCTAGCTGGGAGAGGCCAAAACACTTCCTTCAGTGTCACAGGACACAATGACTATTTGCTTCTTTGGTATCCTTTCCCCAAGTTTTGGACCATCAAGCTAGAGGAAGACAATAGTGCAGAACTTTAGGTCTTTGATCCCCTCAATAAGCTCAATAGATATTCAGTCCTCATAAACTCTTATAATTACCTAATTCTTGATCTGTTAATCATAGAACTGCAGAATGTCAGAGCTAAGAGATCAGAGAGTTCAACACTTTACAGATGAAGATGGTAAGGGCTATAGTGATTGAATGGCTTATCAAATGCAACCAGCAGGGAAAAGATCAATATCAAGTCTACCTGATGTATAGGCATATGCTTTTTTTTACAGGACTACAACTCATCAATAAACTACTTTAGATTACATTTTGTGCTAGAAGACTGCAAAATATGATGAAAATTTGTGCTAAAAATGAGATGCTAGTAAACCATAATACATTAAATAGAAATGTATTCCAGCACATTTCCCACTGAACAGATTTAGTATTGGCTTGCTTTAATTTTAGTAGAGAATTCAACTTTTCTTTCCTTTCTTTCCACCCAGATACTGAAATAGACCATAACATACACTTTCATTGAGTTTACTAGCTTCAAGACGCATCCTAGTCTTCTCCATATTTTCAATTTCTTGAACTATTTCAGCAGCTGTTAAAATAAAGACATGCAGCCAAAGTTAATTACATGGTTTTTCTCACTGAACTATGCTTATGTAAGTTGTTAATAATGAAGCCGCGAGACGGGTATATATGAACTCTGTCCCATTTTTATTATTTTTTTGTAAGTGTAAAGTTATTTCAAAATAAAAGGTTAAAAAAATAAGTTAAAACACTGAAGTCTTACACATGCAAACAGTTTAAAATATAACTAGAAAAGTACAGTAAAGTCACTGTACTCTTTCCTTTGAGTATATAGGTATAAACGGTAGTCTCAATGGAATATGAAAATTAATGTTAGTGTGAATTCAATTCTTAGGGGATATCCACTCATAATCCAAAATATTAAATGTATATAAAAATATAACAGGCTACTTTTCAAGGGGAGACAGAGGTCTACAAATACCAGAGGGAAAATGGCCTTGCCTCCAGAACTTTTGTTAGTAGGTGTAGGTGTAGTTACCAATCACAAATATTAAGATCTGAAATACATTGTCACATACATCAAATGCCTTTGAATGCAAATAGCATGGAATTTGCAAATGTTATCTTTCTGCCTCCAAAGTCAACATATTAAAACTAAAAAACATATGGTATAGAATAAAAATCTACAATCCTCTACACATATTTATACACAAAAAGATACTATGTCTGAAATTTACTTCAAAATAATCCACGGGAGAGAGGAATGTATATGACAGACGACATACATAGGGCATGGGTCAGTAAGCTGGATAATAGGTATATGAGGGGAATCACACCCCTCACTCTACTTCTATATAAATTTGATATCTCCTTTTAAAGATTTTTATAAAACCCATAATCCTCAAGAGGATCATTTAAGAATGCAATTACCTCAATTTAAAGTTTATGTTGTACCTTTTGCCATCCTAATAGTATAAAACCAGTATAAATACTGTAAATAGTTTCTCTCTGTGTGTAAGCGTGAACAGCTAGCATAATTAAGTGGATCATGGTATAACAGGACACCAAAGGGACCACTTGTATTCCACCCAATCCTTTAACATGAGTATCAGTCAAGATAGAGAACATCTGGCATACTCTCTTCTAAGGTATTAAGGAAACTATACTAGGAACAGATACAATTTAAGGGCTTAAATCTGTCAGGGACACTTTTGATGTAGAGAGCTGGATATAATATCACTCCCACCCTAACAACAAGAAAAGGCTAGGTAATCTATAAAACTAACTATTCTTGAATCCATCAGAGCTAAAGTCACAGGGCAAATAAACTAGCCTGAAATTTAAGGAAAGACAGGTGCCTTAGAGCAGGGGTCCCCAACTCTCAGGCCACAAACCAGTACCAGTCCAGGGCCTGTTAGGAACAGGGCTGCACAGCAGGAAGTGAGCAGTGGATGAAAGAAGCTTCATCTGTATTTGCAGCTGCTCCCTAGCGCTAGCATCATTGCCTCGGTTCTACCTCAGATCATCAGGCATTAGATTTTCATAGTAGCACCGGTCCCTGGTGCCAAAAAGGTTGAGAACCACTGCCTTAGAGGACAGAGAGGGACATGAAAACTGGCTGACACTGGGCAGAGGAGACTGACACAGGAGAAAGATTGGGACCACTCTAGCTCTGAGTAAGAAGAGTTCAGCTAAACTTTTTGATGAATTACAGTAGGCCAAGGGTGAACCATCAAGAAAGTATAAAAATCCTGGGAAGCTTAGACTCAAGGGGAGTCACACCTATTCCAAGGCTATTTTCTATAGACTTTACTGGACATTCACAAGAACTATTGAGGGAAGAACAGGAAATTAGAAAAGGTATCCCTTCAGATCCAGGCCTGGGAAAGGAGAATAATCTCCACTGCAGAAAACACATGAAGCCCCACCAGATCTTTAACTCTTATGAAAGAAAAGCACTAAGCCACTGAAGGATGGTCAGCAAAACTGAAGTCCCCAGAGCACAGGTAAATGGCCCGCCGCTTCTGAGAGAAGGAAACAAAGAAAACCTGCAAGAGGTTCAGGAAGTCACCCCAGGCCCAGACCACTAGAAGACCCCTGCTACTTGGAAAGGAGAAGGACCACTGAGAGAGCCACACCCTGAGAGCCAAGATCAAAGCGCCCACCTAAGACTGAGGCTAAAACAGAATAACAGAGAATCACCCCATGTTCCCTACTTGTGAGCGAACACGCTCCACGGACAAGTAACAGTAATCTACCAGGAGAGAAGAGAGCATGGAGAGACTCTATGAGGTAAGGCTCACGAGGAAATCCTACATGTCAGTGATACAGGTACACTTGAAAACAAACAAATTTTCTGGCAACTCAGCCACCGACCTAAAACACAAGGTATATGAAACTGGTGGTAAACTGAGGGCTATCACAGCAACAACAAAACTTAAAGCAAGTCAACCCCACACAATAATAAAGACCTAGCAGCAGAGAAGACAAGTCCGTTTTTTTTTGACACAAACACTATTTCCATGTTTAGAATCTCACATATAAAGTCTGGCTTTCGACCAAAATTTACAAGATCTAAGACCAAGCAATCAAATGAACAATAACAAAACCAAACTCAGATATCACCCAGATGTTAGAACTATCAGATATGGAATTTTAAATAACTATGATTAATACACTAAACTATCTAGTGGAATAAATGAACAACACGCATGAATAGATGAGGCATTACAGGTGAGAGATGAAACCATCAAGAAGAATAAAATAGAAATGTTAGATTTTTTTTTTTTTTAAATTAACAGATATTACTTGGTCCAGCTAAGGAAAGAATCAGTGAACTTGAAATGGGACTGACTGGATTACCCAAATAGAAACAGAGGGATGAAAGAAAGGAAAAAAAGCAGAACAGAACATCTAAGAGTTGTGAGACATTATCATAAATGTAACAGATACACGAGAAGATGACGATGAAAGGGAGACCTAATGGCCAGAATTTGCCAAATATAATGAAAGAAATCAGACTACAAAAGCAAGAAGCTCAGAGAACAACAAGCAGGATAAAAACAAAACAATACACATACACAAAGACACAGAAAAAATCCTGAAGCCAGTCAGAGAATAGGGGCCTGGCCACCCTCACACACACGAAATCAAGCATGGTATCACGCTTCTCAACAAAAACTATTCAAGCCAGAAGACAAAGGAGAGACAAATTTAAAATGTTGGGATAAAAACCCTGCCAATCTAGAATTCTATACCAAGGGAAATATTTTTTCAAAAGTAAAAGAAATAAAAATTTCTGAGACAAACAAAAACTGAGAGGATGTATGATTAGCAGACCTATACTACAAAAAGTGTTAAAGAAAATTCTTCAGGCAGAACTATAAAACCAGAATCTCGTCTCTATAAGAAATGAAGAGTTCTAGAAATGAATATAAATATAAAACATATTTTTCTTATTTTTACCTACTATAAAAGGTAATTGTTTAAAGGAAAAAAAAATCAATGCATTGTGTTAACAGCCTATGTAAAAATGTAAAATTTATGACAATACTATAAAGAATTAGGGATTGGAAGTATACTGTTGTAAGGTTCTTATGCTACAATTGAAGCAGTATATTATTTGAAAGTAGACTGTGACTAATTAAAGGTGCATGTTACAAACCTGAGGGCAACCACAAAAACTTTTTGAAAAAGAGGTGAAATAATAAACCAATAGTAGAAATAAAATGTAATAAAAATACTCAATCCAAGAGACAGCAAAAGAAAGGATAAAAGGAACAAAAAGCATATATAACAAACAGAAAACAGCTAGCAATATGTTATAGTAAAGGTCAACTGTATCATAATTACATTAAATGTAGATGTTCTAAAAGCACCAATAAGAGAGAATGAAGACTAGATACAAAAGGAAAGACCGAACTATATGCTTTCAATAAGTAATCATTTTAAATAAAAGACATAGGTTCAAAATAAAGTAGAGAGATGTATCATATAAACAGTAATGAAAAAAAATCTATAATAGCTGTATTAATATGAGGCACAAGAGACTTCAGAACAATAAATGTTATCAAGGATAAAGGGGGATAAATTATATAAAGTGGTCAATTCACCAAGAAGACATAATAATCCCAAATGTGTTTGCACCTAAAACAGAAATTAAAAATACAAAAACAAGAACTTCTGGTTCCAAATAAGATGGACCAGACTCATTTCTCTTCCTGTTTCTCATATTCTTCCCCACTAAGCATGACCAAACACCATGGACATAATATAATAGACAATGATAAGAGAACTCCGTAGGGTGGAAGGAGAAAAATGGACTAAGGACCTCAAAATTTGAGAATTTGAGAAACAACACTGTGCTGTGTTCCTTGAATTTTCTTTTATCGTCTATACATCCCAGACTGGGATCTGGTGAAGCCTGCAACCCAGAATCACCAACAGACACAGAGAGAAACAAAAGCCACAGGAAACCTTATTCTCTCTAAGCAAAGGACTGTGAAAGGGGGAGATCAGAAATCTTTTTGACAACACCTGACTTACTCCAGCTAAACATTGTTGATGCTTCCAATCTCCTGCAATTTCAGAGAATAAGTAAGTGTGGACTTCCACACCACCTACCCCCAACCCCCCAGCAGTAGCAGGACCCTTGGGGCCAGATTTCCTCTCCTGCCAACACAGTATCAGTGGAGACCTAGACTTTTACCCCTCGCCCTGTGGTAGCAGATAGCACCCTCAACCTCTTAGCTACTGACTGGAGGAAGGATCTCAAAGAGAAGAACCCTAGAGAAAATTCTTTACACCTGCACAGGTAATCCTATACATACCCATGACCAATTGTCTATAATTAATATGACAAAAGTTTGAGAGCTAAACCACAAATACCAGTTTTTCAGAGTGGCCTCCAGGTGCAATTAAATGTTGCAGACCAGAATAACACTGCATGGGCTCTGAAAATTAAGTTGTCATTAGAACCACAGCCCACAAAAGTAGGTCAGGCTCTGCATGCTATACCTAAACAGGATGACTGCCTGCTAAAACAAAATATTTGAAGAAGATCTAAAA